TTTCTGGCTCTGCATCTTGGTTATTTGTTTGAGCCATTCTCTCTTGTTTCTTTATGGGAGCTAAAATTCTGTTTTCTCAAGGACATTGTGGTACTGTCATATTTGTATTTAATAGATGATTCGTATGTTAATGTGTTCTTAGGCTCTTGCCATTGATCTCCTGTGGGTGTAGTTAAATAATGGAAATGTGAGCCGTTCTTTGTTCATGCATCTTGGTTTTGGTTGCTGTCTATCATTGATCAGGTGATGCAGCACATGTTACATTGTAGCTGGGCTTTATGGGTACAGTTGCTGCCTCCTGTTGGGTGAGAAAGAGGAGAAACACCCCCCATTCTTTTTTTTTTTTTAAGGCAACGTAACAAAATAAGACAAGTACTACTGGGAAAACTTGTCTTCAGCCTTCCACTGATTGCAGAGACATAGTTAAACAAATTTTGTGTGGAATAAGCCCATGCATGTATAAACTGGAACCACAATAGCAATACTTTTTTTTTTTACCAACCTATGAACACTACTTAATATACAGTCTCTTAACATACCTCACTTTGCACATGTGCAGTTCATTTGCCATGAACGTGTTTACCTCTCCTAGAAGAGGAATTCCAGAGTCAAGGGTATTTATGAATATTTACCTGCCTTGCAAATATTTTTGTTTTCCTTGCATTTAAAAGTAATACAGGTTTGTGGTAATTTAAAATAGTTCAAATAGTACTAAACAGAATAAAAATTCCTTGTTATGCCTACTTCCTAGATATAACACTTTCTTGTTTTATCTTTCTTATCATTATCAGTTTGTATGTTTTTCTTTTCTTTCCTTCTCAATTTTGTTTTTAAATAAATGGCTGTGTGATGTTTCCATTATATCTATCTATTGTGATTTATGTGTTCAGTTTCTCATTGTGGACATTTAAGATGTTAGTAGATTTCTTTTTTGCTACTACAGTGCTTTAGTGAAAAAACTTTACACATATGGAAGTGTTTCTACTGGAGAGATTCCTGGGAGCAGAATAGATGGATCACAAATCTATGTATTTTAAATTTTGATTCGTTTTAATAAAATATCCTCCAAAAAGGCAGTGTATTTAACATCTCAACCAATATATCCTTGCCAACTCTAGGTATTATCAAGCTTTTTCATCTGAGCCACTTTGGTAGGGGAAAAACAATAAAAGGGTCTTATTATTATTATTTGTATTCCTTTCATTAAGGATATTTATCTGTAGTCATATATATTACAAATATTTTTCTGTTTGTCATATTTAACCTTGTGAATGGTTTCTAAATAAACATAGTTTAACCCTAAAGATGTATTGCTCATACAATGATTTGCAATAGGAAAATCTGCAATACAAGACCTTTTACGAGTGTTCAAGAGCAAACATATTAGTTTGAGGACTAAGGTGCACCTGACCCAAACAATGGTATTTTCAATTGCCTCGTATACATGTGAAAGTTCAATAACTAAGGAAGACCATAGAAGAATTGATGCATATTTGAGTTAGGGTGTTAGAGAAGAATCTTGGAAAAGGACCATGGACTGCCAGAAGAACAAACAAGTTTGTGTTTGAAGAAGTACAGTCAGAATGCTCTTTAGAAGCGAGGATGGTAAGACTTGGTCTCTCCTACTTCAGACTGGTTATGAGTAGAGACATCTGGAGAAGGACAGCATGCTTAGTAGAGTGGAGGGTCAGAAAAAAAGAGGAAATTCCCAAATGAGATGGATTGACACAGTGGCAGCAGCAGTGGGCTCAAGCATAAAACAATTGTGAGGATGTGCAATATTGGGACAGTGTTTTGTTCTGTTATGTATAGTCACTATGGATCGGAACCGATTCAGTGGTACCTGACTACAACAACCCTAAAGAGATAGCAGGAGGCTAGGAAATGGAGGGAGGTAAACCAGTGGAGAATCCAGATCAGTCAAAGTACTAAACACTCTTTGAATAAGAAAAATGATATAGTGCTTTTATTTCCGAAGAGGAAAAGAATGTAAATTAAAATTTTCTTTGTATAAGGTGTATTTACTATGCTACAAATATATTTGTTTACATATTTTTCCCTCCAGAGGTTTTGTCAGCTATGATTAGTGTACTATTGGTGTATTTACTTATGGGATTCCTCTTATATGAAGCTGTGCAAAGAACTATCCATATGGACTATGAAATAAATGGAGACATAATGCTCATTACAGCAGCTGTTGGAGTTGCAGTCAATGTAATGTAAGTTCTGTTTGAGGTTTGTTTTTTTTTGCATTAAATACTTTGAAGTACTGTGAACTCATACAAATGGGCTCAAACATAACAATTGTGAGGATGTCACAGGACCTGGCAGTGTTTCCTTCTGTTGTGCAAAGGGTCACTAGGAGTCAGAACCAACTCGATGGTACCTAACAACAACAATATATGTGTTCAGTAATATGCAGCAATAGTTTTATTTTTAAATCATATGTCATATTAAATTTTATAGTAAATGTTAATAGAACACTTTTGGCATTATAAGTTTGCATTGGCTCACTCATATACTAGAAATTGACTAATAAATGATAAGGAATTTAAGCAAAATGTTTTGTGTTGTCATTTGTTTAATTTTATAATACTTTTATGTAACTAGATTTTTGTCTAAAAACTATTAATTTATTATAAACTACCAAATGTGTGTGTGTGTGTGTGTGTGTGTGTGGTGTGGTTTTTTTTAATAATTAGGCAAGAGAAAATATTTTCTGTAAAGAGGCAGGTAGTAAATATTTTAGTCTTTGAGGGCCATATAATCTCTGTCAAAGCTCTGTCAGCTCTCCTGCTGTAGAATAAAAGCAGTCACAGATGCTTCGTAAACAAATGACTATGGCTTGAATTCCAATAAAACTTTATTTACAAAACCAGGTCTTGGGCCAAATTTGGCTTAATTAGTCATAGTTTGCCAATCTCTGTCCTAGTGACTTCTGTTTGTACTTATAATGAAATCAAAAGTCCATCCCATGTTATTTTTAAATAAGACCCAGTGTACCTTTTCAGCTCATCTCCTAATTCAATGACTTTATGCCTCGATAGCCATCTTACCTTTTTTTTCAAGCACACTGAACAGCTGTTCGGTTCCTTCTTCCTAGAACATTCTTCTGCCACAGCTTGCTCCCTAAGTTTATTCAGGTCTGTGTGACCACTCTCCCAGTAAAAAACAATGTTTTACTTTTCTTCCAAGAATTTCACATTATCTGACATTATATTAGGGACTCCAAAAAGTTTATGAAAAAATTTATATTATCTTTTCTTTCCATTTTTTCAGGAATTTTTTGACACCCCCTCATATATTTATTTACCTTTCTACCCTCCCTACTAGAATTTAAGCTCTATGGTGATAGAGAAATATTTGTCTTATTGACTGCTAGGACCCCACCATTTAGAACAGTACCTCATATAGAGTAGGTACACAGGTATTTATTAAATGAATGAATTCTATGTTGTTTCAGTAATGTCTAAATAGTAGTAAATAATTTTTATCAAAATATTAGGAAGAATAATAATGTTTTTGGTGTTTTTTTTTTTCAACAGAATGGGGTTTCTGTTGAACCAGTCTGGTCACCATCACTCACATTCTTCAAATTCTCCTAGTACCAGTTCTGGACATGGGCACAGCCATGGGCAGGGAAGCCTGGCAGTGAGAGCTGCATTCGTACATGCCTTGGGGGATTTGGTACAGAGTGTTGGTGTGCTAATAGCTGCATACATCATACGATTCAAGGTAATATAATAGCTAACTTTTCTATTTTAAACTGTATTTGATTTCAACATTAAAACTAAAGGTGCTTGTCTTTTAGCAGTATACTGGATACTGGATACCAATACCAATATTTTGCATTGATAAAATGTTAATCTGGTGTCATCGGTATAGTTCTTTTGTTAACAGTAAACAATAGTTATCACTTTGAGGGGTAATTTCTTTGTAATTGGCTGTGGTCATGTCAAAGGAGAACTCACTCAACTTGGAGCCTTGTCAGTGAATTATTAGGGGAGTCCTGGTGTGGTGCTGTAGGGTAAGCACTAGCACTAGACTGCTAACTGAAAGGTTGGCGGTTTAAACCCACCAGCCACTCCAAGGACACCCTATAGAGTCACTATGACAGTGCTTGAAAACAACAATATGCACTAAGCTAGAAACCCAAACATCTGAGTTCTAGTCCTGCCTCTGTGTCACTGCTTTGTCCTTGGGTAAATCTCTCAACACTAAATTTGAGTTCCCTTTTCTCTAATATAAGGAGCACTGGTAGTAGTGGATTGCAAGTGGGCTGCTAACTGCAAGGTCAGGAGTTCAAATCTACCTGTCACTCCATGGGAGAAAGATGAGGTTTTCTGCTCCCATTAAGATTGACAGCCTCAGGAGCCTAGATCCAGAGGACACAGAGGAAGGTAGAATCTCCACTGAGTAGTATCCAATCTGGCTGGGTGGTACTAATGAAAGGAGATGGGGATAAGTCCCTTGTGGTACAATGGTGAATAATTGTTATCAGGACTGACTGCAAGTGTTGGAAATGTAAAGGTGGGTGTTTTGTAGTGTAAAGGTGGGCATTTTGTAGCAAAAGGAGGGGAGTGATTGACTTTGCAGTCCAGGAGCAGAGGTCCCTGGAACCATCAAGGGAGACGAGCCGAGTGTGAGACCCCACCCAGAGAAGCAATGACACCAGAGATGGAGGCAGAGACAATGACATGGAGAGATGGAGCAGTTGGGGACTTTAGACACAGAGAGGGAGAGTGTGCTGATGACCAGGGGGCAAGCTTGTAGTGTATACCCTTTGGTTGGTTGATGATGCATGGAGGGGATTGTAACCATGACAATGAAACGATATACAATAGGATGAATGTAAAACTAATGTTCTCCCATGTAAACTATCACATAATTCACAATAAAACATTTATAAAAAAGATTTACAGTCTCAGAAACCCTTTCCAGGGTCACTATGAGTTGGAACCAACTTGGTGGCACATAACCAACCAATCAACTACTCTAATATAAGAGACTTAGGCCAAAAGACTGCTATAGCATCTTCTAACTCTTATATTCTATGGTAGTGGGTAGAAGATTTATAGAAGGCATAGAAGAGAATAACAGAACACACCATTAAGTTTCTGGGAATAGGTTCCACAAGGAAAGATATTTAAACAATGTAGAGAAGAATGAAAATATCTCTCAAGTATAATATCCAAGTTTGAAAGGTATTTGTAATCCTGCTAAAGAAAGCAAAACAATAGAAGACATAGTGTCATGGTTGATTTGTTGTCCCTAGAATGGTGTTACTCTCCTTCCAAAGAGTTGTATAAAGAACCAGTTCAAAGAGGGGTATACTCACCCCTCACAAAAGTGAGAGACAGGAGGCTTAGGGAAATGAAAAGACAGGCTTATTATAAGCATAGACATTCTTACAGAGAGAGGAAGAACAAGAGTCCACCTTGCAGGAAAAAAAGGAGATGGAGCCCAAGTAAAATTTGACTTCTTCTTTTTATACCCGTTTGTCATGGGAGTGGGCTTTACTCCTAATTTGAGTGCTCAGGTAACCAATCCAGAGAATTGGTCCATATAAGGTATTCTTGAGTCTTGCCTTTCAAGTTTCAGCATATTATTAATTAACTTTATTTTTCCTCAAAGTAGTAGTCCCTCTCACCTACTTCTCTTAAATAACTTTATTTCCTCTTGCAAAGTTTTTTCTCTCTCCCATCCCCCCTTGTTGTTGTTGTTGTTGTAAAGTACTGTGGAGTCGTTTCCGACTCACAGTGACCTTGTACAGGGTTTCCGAGGCTGTAAATCTTTATGGGAGCAGAAAGCTTCACCTTTCTCACGCCGAGAAGCTGGTAGTTTCAAACTGCTGACCTTGAGCCAGAGCTCCTCTTCCATCCCTTCTTAACTAACTTCATTTCTTCTTGCTGTCTCCTCTCTTCCCCACCCCTTTTCAGAAATTCTTCACTGCTGAGGTTAGCTTGTTTCCTGCTGAGACAGGCCATGCCTAGAGTGACTTGAGACCCCTTCTATCTGGTGTTGCATTGTAGGATAAGCACAGGACTGCAAGGTCAGTTTGAACCACCAATCTGGGGTTCAAACTCACCAACTACTCCTCGAAAACCCTATACTGGGTCACTATGAGTCAGAACTGACTTGACGACACTTAACAACTACCTAATAAGAGCATACTTTGTTTTGCTTTGTAGTCTGTTTTATGTCTCTCTGTATTTGGAGTTCCTGTGTGGCGTAAACCATTAAGCACTGAGGTACTAGAGTCCTAGTGTAGCACTGTAGGACAAGCAATGGACCACTAACCAAAAGGTTGGTGTTTCAAACGCACCTGATGCTCCTCAGAAACCGTATACAGGGTTGCTAAGAGTCGGAACCAATTAGATGGCACTTAACCAACCAAAAGGCTAGTAGAAGAAAGGCCTCGTGATCTGCTTCCTAAAGATCACAGTTCTGAAAATCCTGTGAAGCACACCTTATATTCTGACATACATTGGGGTCACCATATATCAGAATTAACTCAACAGTAACTGGTTTGGTATATTTGATAAAACAATTTTGCTCTGTTAACATTTCAGCCAGAATACAAGATCGCTGATCCCATCTGTACATACGTATTTTCATTACTTGTGGCTTTTACAACATTTCGCATCATATGGGACACAGTAGTTATAATACTGGAAGGTAAGCTTTCACTAATATCCCCAGCATGGATTTTATTACCTCCCTATATCAGATTTCAGGAGTCCTGGTGTGGTACTGTAGGTACTGTAGGATAAGGTTGTTTGAACTGCAAGGTCTACAGTTGAGACTTGCCAGCCACTCCTCAGAAACCCTATTCAGGGTCACTATGAGTTGGAAACAAGTTGATAGTAATTGGCAACAAAAACAATATCAGATTTGGGTGAAGGGGAGCATTCTAGAGTAGGGACCTTGTCTTGTCTTTTCCTTTCTTTTTACTGATAACTTATTAGGCTATAGAGCCACCTAATATTTATAAAACATATGAGGGGGCTTTGAGCAGCTAGTGGAAAAATGGAATTTAAAGACAATGGAATTTTTCTGTAAGAATCAATGCATATTCACATGTTATGCCATTTGATTCATATAATAACTAAACAAGGTAGACAAGGCAGACATTATTATCCCCATTTACAAATAAGAAAATTGAGGTTCAGAGAGATTGCATATCTTGGTCTTGAAGCCAGAACAATAATAAAATTCTTTTGATGTTTAATACAATTATGTTTATGATTTATTTATTAATTCTTTAGTTCCCATTTAACTTGCATCTTTGTTTTGCTACATCCTTGCCCTACTGACATTCTGTGTAAATTCTCAACAGATTTATCATCTTTGGATGTTTCTTTTTTAACCATATACTAGCTAATATGTTAAATAAAATATTCTGATTTGATTGACATTCCTTTTTAGTGAGAATGAACATTTTTTAAAAGCATTTTTAATCTCTTTTGTATATATCCTGTTTTTAGTGAAAAATGTACATATGCTGTATATTAAAATATTAATAGGAAGTGTTTATTTGAACTGATATTTGGCAATGCCATTTTGTTCCTTTGGTGGGGGGAGGTACTATGCTAACCACAAAGTCAGTGGTTCAAATCCACCAACTGCTCCTTCAAAACCCTATCCAGGATCACTGAGTTGGAACCAACTCCACAACCCTTAACAACAACAACCACATCAATGATGCTAATAACTGGGGCTAGGACGACAATTAAATGATTTTAATTCTTAATATAATTACATTTTGATAAATTTTTTTCCAAGTGAAATTTTACTCATAAACTATATATTCTGAATTAATAGGTGTACCACGCCATTTGAATATAGACTATATCAAAGAAGCCTTGCTGAAAATAGAAGATGTTTATTCAGTGGAAGATTTAAATGTCTGGTCTCTCACATCGGGAAAATCTACTGCCATAGTTCATATACAGCTAAGTATGTTGCTGATGGTAAACGTGGGACTAGAGTTAGTGGGCTTCTATCTTTGGAATTAAACATCTATGCCTATATTTTAGTAAGAGTTTTCTACTGACAGTATTTTTGTAAAGGAGATGGAAGGCTCTCCCAAAGGGAGGTTGCAGGTCAATATTGATAGGAAAACAATAATCACTTTAAGATGAGACATTAAGAAATTTTTTTGAAGACATTAAGTATACTTACTGTGCTTTTTTCTATACAATTACACTCATTTCTATAAATCATTTTACAAATTGATGATTTTAAATTTTATCAGAAAATTACATGTATTTATAAGAAAACACAAAAGGTCTTTTATTGAAAATCCTTATAATCATTGTCTAATATTCTTTCCTTTAAACAGTGAACTTGAAATATTGGAAGAAGGAGAATCCCATTATTAAAAAGTGTAAAGTAAACTGTCATAGTTTTCTAACACAACATCTTAGAGATGGTAGAAATCACACTAATAAAAATATGTCCACAGTTTATTGTTGTTGTTAGGTGCCATCAAGTCGGTACCGACTCATAGTGACCCTATGCACAGCAGAACAAAACACTGCCCGATCCTGGGCCAACCTCATTACTGTTGCCACGCTTGAGTCCATTGATGCTGTCACTTGGCTAATCCATCTCGTTGGGGGTCTTCCTCTTTTTCTCTGACCCTCTACCCTACCAAACATGATATCCTTCTCCAGTGACTGGTCCCTCCTGACAACATGACCGAAGTATGAGAGACGAAGTTTGGCCATCTTGGCCTCCAAGGAGCACTCAGGCTGCACTTCTTCCAGAATGGATCTATTGGTTCTTTTGGCAGCCCATGGCACTTTCAATATTCTCCTCCAACACCGTAACTCAAAACATCAATGTATATTGAGTATACGTATATCCTGGTGTTTAACTATGTACAATGAGTAGTAATTTTTTTTTTTTTTTTTGACATTGCAGTTCCTGGAAGTTCTTCTAAATGGGAGGAAGTACAGTCCAAAGCAAAACATTTATTATTGACCACATTTGGCATGTATAAATGTACTATTCAGCTGCAGAGTTACAGACATGAAGTGATCAGAACTTGTGCAAATTGTCAGAGTTTCAGTTCCTAATTTCATATGCTTTGAGGACCACTGCCTTATTGATCCTGCAGTCACAAGCTTGAGAGCAATAAATGCAAATCTAACTGAGAAATCGGAATCCCTGAGCGCTGTCTCCATATCAAGCCCTGGTCTCTCATGACAGTTATTCCAGCCTGGCAGTGCTGCTACTTCTGTTCATGGGAAATGCGACTCCACCAGGACTTTCCGATGAAGATGGTTCTAAAACACTTGTTTACAGAATGAGACGTGACTCTACAGATACCTCATAGAAGACAATCCAAGACCATACTTCATTAATTATGACAGAGGACATGTCCTAAAGGAAGCATCAAGAATTCAGTATTTGCATTTAAAACTACTTTTTAAAGGCCATTTTATATCAAGCCAGTGCTGGAAAACTGAAATTTTTTATTGTATAATCTTAATACTGAGCTTCTGGAATTTGCTGCTCTCTTTTTACAGAAATTATTTCTCAACAGATTTCAGAAAGTACTAATAGTTCTCAGAGTGGAGCAAGCATGAATCCCCATGTATTTCAGAAATGTTTTCTTTCACAAAGAAGTCATAATGTTATGGTTAGTTATACTTGATAACATTCCCAGTTGTTATCATTACCAAGTATAACATTTTTCCAAATGTTACAGGATTTTGAATCTCAAAGTTAATGTTTTTGATTATTTGTAATCTTATCAGAACCAAATCCTTATAGAGTGTTGTCACTGTCACTAAATTCTTTAGGAAACAGTTTCAGTGTTTTTCTGAATGACAAAAATTAGTCTTAAACTCAATTGCTATATGGTAATGTAAAACAAAATAGGAGAAAGTATGGAGTTTGAGAACTATGCATCTCCCAAAACCACTTTTTTTGCTTCATGGAATTGTCTTTCAGAACAGCAAAAGCCTACAAAATGTCAATAGTGTTCCTCTGTCTATTTAAGAATGGCTTTACACTTCGTATATCAAGTTTGCTTGGAACCTACCTTAGTTCCTGCCCTCATTACCAGTTAATCTTTCAAGGTAAAATTCAAGAGAGCTAAAGTTTAGTCTTCATACCCACATACTCATGTACACCAGAAACACTAAAACATAATTTTGAAGTTTTCCAATAATACCATAGCAGAAATGCCCAAAGGAGTTAAAGGAGAGAATTGCAAGGATTTTTGGCATTGTGTGTTTTTTAAAACCCTAAAGATGGACAGTAAATGTGTATTGGATGCAGGCCAAGTAAGTTTCCAGACTGGAGGCAACCAAATTGGTAACAGCTGAGTTACGTGCAGAGACACCTGTGAACACTCATATTTTATTTTCCACTCTTGATTTTGAGATTGTCTTTATGTGCATTAGGAGTGTATTTTCAACAGGAGCAGTTTCTTATACTCAGAATTTATATGGTTCTTTGACTCCTCAGAGAATCAGAGTAGTGTAACTGCAGACCAAGCAAGTTAAGAGTTCAAATCCTAGATAGGCTTTCAAATGACTTAAAATGTAAATGAATAGGAAACAGATTTTATCCTTCTGCCAGGTACCTTGCTATAAAATAAGATTTACCTAAAAGATTGTTGAGGGTTGATAGCATCAAATAAAAGGACTGAGGTAGATGGATACTATCTAATAAAACCCAGTATGTTTACTGAAATCTGAAATTCTACTTATGAAATTGTTACTTTGAATCCATGTAAAATAATAACTTGAACTTTTCCAAAATTTCAAGAGCATCCAAACTATTTAAATCAAAATATTCTTAAATATAGCAACAAGTAAGAATAAATGAGAGGTTTTCAGTCATCATGTGGGCATTTATATACTTTGGATGTCTAGCAAGGTAAAGGATATAATGTGCCAATTTTTCATATACTAATATTTCCCACACTTGCAGTTTCCCGTATCTACTGAGCTTGTTGCCTATAACTTTCCTTTGTCCTATATAGGTATATCTGGCTTCTCATATAGACCTGTTCCTTTAAAATTATGTGATAAAACAATCTAAAATCCATTTTTGGATTAAAAGGATCCTTTTGTAAAATGCAGAAACACTGAAAACTTTTATAAGTCTGAATTACCATGTTCTGCTTAAAATGAAGTACATACGAAGTTTCCTGTGCTTTGTTTTTGTAGCAAGAACTACAAACTTTGTACTTGAACTTGTACTTTACTGAGCCTGTAAGACTTGAAAATTGATGGATGTAGCTTTTTTGTAACTGAAGCACTCAAGGAAAGAAGAATGTTAGCTAGATATGACTGGGGGGACCACAAAGCTTCCAACAGAGTGTTTGGTCCCATCTTACTTGCTGAGCTACGCTTCTCAGCTGAGCTCTCAGAGAAGTACTCGCTGTATTGCCCTGTGAAAAGCAGGGGCCGAGGTGGGTAAACACATAGCTTAATTTTTCACTAGGAAAACAGATCCCAAATAAAAACTTCATAGTTCTTCAGAGATGTACAGGCAACCCCACATTACAAATGAGATCTGTTCCTAAGTGTCTTTAAGTTGAATTTGTAGGTCTGTCAGAACAGGTGCATACAATTCTTACTTAAACGTTAGTGGAAAAAAAAAAAAAAAGGTTCAAAACCTTTTGATTTAAAAGCTGCGCATCAGCAAGTGAAGGTGATTGTGAATTTTTTTTTTTTTTTGAGTTGCAAGACTTCAAGCAGGTTCATTCTGGTTTAGCTTCCTGCTGAGATTTTGCATCTCTGCCCCAGATATACTTAATCAGGGGTGGAAATGCAAATGTTCAGCAAGAGGGGAGAGGGTGTCAAACCAGAACAAACCAATTCGAAGACCTAAGGTATTGGTTCAACTGGTTCAAAGTGAGGCCCAATTTATAGAACATTAAAGGATGAGCACGAATTGTCCATAAATGGAAGCTGGTAACTGGGGACTGATTCATTTTCGGTCAGATACTGTGTTCATAAACCTGCACTTCACAGCTCTGGTCAGGTTCAGCATTTTGATTTCTTTCCAGAAAAGAACCATGGTTTCATTAACATGCTACCTTATGTAGGGGGTATAACTGTGTAAGGCATATAGCCGAGAACTGTGAAATACAGAACCAGAAACTTGTCATTCCTTCATTTTCCATTTTCTATGCCTTGTATGCAGTCTTGGTGTAGCACTGTAAGATAAGCACTGGACTGCTAACCACAAGGTCAGTGGTTCAAACCTGCCAACTGCTTCTTGGAAACCAAATGCACAGTTGCTATGAATCTGAACCAACTCCACGGCACTTAACAACAGCAAGCCTGGTATAATGTAAGCACAGATTTTCACTACTCATAACTCCCCAATCAGTATTGTTCGCCAGATCACTGGATTTCTTATTTTGTTTTCTTTTCAACTTTGGGTGCTTTGTTTCCACTTTCTAAAACGTAAGTTTTCTGTTCTCATTAAATCTCACTGTGCTGTCTCTCAAACCCAGGTGTCTCAACCTTAATAGAATTTTTTTTTATTTGTCTTTAGTAGAATTTTTCCCATAATAGACATGGACAAGAGCAATTCCATGAGCTTACCTCTCTTTTATTTAAGTTTTTATTGTGGACTGAGTGATAGTTTACATGGGAGAACATCAGTTTTACACCATCATTTCATTGCAATGATTATAATCTTCCCCCTTTCATTTTTATGAGGAAAAAAAAAAAAGTCTTACAGAGATTAGACACTGCTTAGGAATATGTCTTCAGATGAAAAATAACATTTTTTATTGTTTCTGATCCAGATTTCTCTGCACACTGAACTTCATAGAATGAGTGATGGACAAAATAGATTACTACACTGTGAAACCGCAAATGTGGATCATTGCTTGTAAGACTGAGTCCTGTTTCTGAAGCAATCACTCTTTCAACTTTAAAAGACATATTCATTCTGTTATGAAATAAGCACAATTAGATAAATATTTTTATGCAATTATATTAAATTGGGGTCCTGGTGTGGCACTGTAGGATAAGCTCTAGACTGCTAACCACAAGATAGGCAGTTCAAACCCACCCGCCACACCTTGGAAACCTTATAGAGGATCATTATGAGTCAGAACTGATCAGATGACACTTAAAAACAGCGTGTTAAATTGGTTCACCATATAATAATGAATAAGGAACTTAACAATGAATAAGCAAGTTATTTGCACTCAGCTTGCTAACCAAAAGGTAGGCAGTTCAAACCAATCCAGCAGCTCCTCTGAAGAAAGGCGTGGCAATCTGTTGACCATGAAGAAAACTCTATGGAACAATGCTACTCAGCTCACCAGCAGTCCAGGGCCAGCTTGAAGACAGCTAACACCAACAATAACTAAGGTGTTCTTACAGAACTCAAGCACGTTTGAGAAAAGATTTGGGGCAATTTTGCTCTGATTCTACCCTGCATTTAGTAAATTTAGAATTACAGAATAAGTGCCTAGAGGTAAGATTTGTTAATTAGTTACATTTGTCTTTGAACCAAGTTTACTTCATAAACCAGTTGGTATTACAAATCAACAGTGGCACCTTGCTATATGCTGATCTCTAAATAATCACATTAGGCTTAATACTTTCTAACCAAAATATCATTTGTAGGCCCTGACTCCAGATATGTCACTTGAATCTTATTGGCCAGGGCATCAGATTTGTTTTACAGATCACAAATCAGGGATATTTGGTAGGAGCTTATGATGTTGATTGTTGTTAAGTACCATGAAGTCAGTTCCGACTCATAGTAGCCCGGCACAGGGTTTCCAAGGCTGTAAGTCTTTACGGGAGCAGAAAGCCTCATCTTTTTCCTGCAGAACAGCTGGTAGTTTCAAACTGCCGACCTTGAGGTTAGCAGCCCGATTTATAACCACTATGATTTGAGCATGAAAATTGGAAAGAAATCGTCTGGGACTTGCTCAGTTTTGTATGTGTATATTCAGGCCAGTCATTGAATTCTTGTTTACAAAGTGTTCAAACTGACCTTCCTATCATATTGGAAAACCAACTAATAATTTCCTAATTTTTTAATAAGATTGAGAAAATTTATGGAGTTTTCAGTTAAAGCTATGACAGTTTCAAATTAAACAGTGTAATTAAATGTTTTCTGAAATAACTGAAAAAGAAAATTGAAATGTTTGGTAAGTCACCTTTGCA